TTCGTTAGCTAGAGGAAGTTTTAGAAGTGCAATTTAAAAAAGCACACGAATCGAATACAGAAATAAATGGGTTAGAAAATGAGCTAAAAGCACTAGAATAAACTATATTTGATGTATTTATTAGTGATGATTATAATCTTCATATGATAAAATAGCATAATATTGAAAAATTTTAAGATTTAGGATAATTTATAGGTTATTTCTACTTTTTATTATCTAAATCTATTATCTATGATGGATGGCATACTTTTCACTGCGTGTAATGTATGCAGTTTGTGACTAAAAATAAAGTAAAAGTGCTAAAATAAATCCAAAATTACTTAAACTTATAAGAAAAAATATATAATCTTAAGTTAATTTAATGAAACTCGTTCCATTCTCAAATTTAAAATTATTATTTATACTTGTTTATAGTGTGTAATTTAATTATTTATTAATTTAAAAACTATGAATTATGCATTAGGGAAGAAGATATTTAATTTCTTAACTTATTCAAGCAATAAAATTAAGTTTTATTTATCTAATTTAGTTTAATATCTAAAATTAAAAAATATATTAATTTCATAATTAATATTAAAAATTTTAAAGTTTAAATTACATATTTTTAATAAAAATAATCTAAAATTAAAAAAAATTTTCTTAAAATAAATAAATAAATTGATTTAATAATTTTTTTTTCATAAACTAAATTAAATTATTAAAAAAAAGAGGTTGGTTTATGCTTTAAGATTATATTGAAAAATAATTACTTAAATTGTATAATTTAAAAATACTCCCTTTAAAATTAACAAATTTCTAATTAGTTTTTTATTTTTCAAAAATAAAAAAAAATAAATAAATAAAATTATAAATTTTTTTCTAAATTTAAAAAGCGGTTTATAAAAAAATTTTAATTAAAAAGTTAAGCCATATATTTGTAATAAGTATTTATTAGAATCAATCACATAAAATAAATGTTTTTTTTTTAAAGTAAAAATACAAAATATTTATAAATATACTAATTAGTAAAAGTTATTTTAACATTTTAAATGGGAATATGTTTCTTTTATTTACAGATCAATTAGAGAATTTATCAAGAGCAAATAAACAAAATTAGATTAATAATTTATTTACTATATAATTATAGCTTTTTAAAAATTTCATGATAAAATAACTTTTGAAATTTTTATCAAAAAGTTAAGCCTATATAAAGAATTTTAATTTTATACAGGATTCAATTACAGTAATTACTATATATATCTTTATGAAAAGAGTATGAATAAGGGTAATTATTTTGTAGTATTTTTTTAGAAAGGTACAATTAAAATAAGAATATTTAAAACATAATTAAGAATGTTTTTTATAAATCGAAATTATTAATATTTAAAAAAAATAATTAATTAATTAACTAATTAAAGAAATATTTATGGAAAATAAAAATAAAAA